CATGTTGCCTGCGATCTGCAAGGTCAGCAGTGTGAACCCAGCTGCTCTTTTGGAGAAAGATGGCACTCTCTACCCCCATTAACAGGTACAGTCTCCAGCACAGAAAGGCAAGTTTCAGGAGCTTTCCCGACAAACACAAGTCAGGGATAAGGGGTTCAAATGTGCAAAGTCTTTTATTCAAAATTTTGAAAAAGTAAGACTTGTGACACCTCAGTAGAGGCCGGCCCTGTGGTAAGGGGGAATGGCGGCTTCACGCTCGTGCAGAGCTGCGTTTTCAGCCACAGAACTCTGGAGGCACTTTAGAAGTGGAGCCTGGCTTCAAAATACAAACACTTGGGGGCTTTGGCTCAACCTTTTAATATAAAAAATTCACTGATGTACAAAAATGTGAAAGTGTGACAATGACAACATCTGAAGTTCTGTGACTGAAGTCCCCAGGAGTGCACTCCGAGGTGCACATGTGCCCGCCCACACATCCTCGGTGTGGAAACACAGCTAATGCAAACCAGTACGACCAACAAGGGCAAGACGTTTGTTCTTCATTCCACCAATCACAGACCAACAGCTGTTCCAAACACTCAGTAACAAAAAGTACGGCATCTTCCCAGGAAACAGCAAGGCAGACTTCTTACTCACGGTGCACCAGCACAAATAAACCCAGTAAAAAGAGGACGGCATACTGGAAAATAAACACAGAATCACAGGTCAGAGGAGCTTTGAAAAGTCCACAAGTCCTAAGAGTTCATTCGTAAACATGCCTTCATGACCAGGCAACATTATTAAACGACTCAATCATTCTTTCATCTTTCACTGTCATCTACTGGATAGTTCCCCAAATTAGGCAAAAGATATTTTGATAAAACATCTAGCACAGGCTCTTACCTTAAATTTAGGATAGTCGTTCATAAGGATTGTCACAATTCCAATGTAAGGAACAAACCTAAAGCAAAAACAGAGAACGTCACAGAACTACCAGACACTATAATTCACTGAGCACTCTGAATAGCTTCCACAGAATACCACCTTTCAGTTCATCAAAGTCCATTTGCATACATAGTCACACTCTGCATAACATCCATTTAGGCACCAGCCAACCAAAAATACATATGGTTATATAAGCAGTCCCAGGGCTGCGAATACCCAACTTTAAGTACAGCTCATAATTTAAACCAGCCCATAAAGCCCATGACAGGCAGTCCCCAGATTACAGGCGAGGTCTGTGCTTAAGTCTGCTTGAAATTGAATTTGTACCTAAGCTGAAACATTTAGGTATGGGTTTGCATGGAATGTCAGGCAAATGTTCATCTTAGTAAACAGTGTACTTTTCTATGTGTAAACATTAAAGAAACACAGATAACACAAAAACATCTTTAATATAATAATACAGTAATAACAATGTTTTGATGTGTGTTGCAAAGTGCACCATGTACTACCATGAACAACTATATACACCTTGAATTTTTAATGTAATGAGTTTAGGGGAGTTGGTTCACAATTACCAGTTGTACCTAAGTCACACACTTGCAACTCGGGGGATGCCTGTATGATATCTGAAAAATATCCAAATCACATCATGTCCTATAACAGGCTAAATCGTGTATATTATGCCACACACGACGGTAATGTCACATGTGATCCTTTCACCAGACTGTGTGATAGGGAAGTTGGGAGCGTCACCATTTTACAGATGAGGAAGCAGATGATCATGTCCACGGTACACAGCTTCTGTGCAGTAGAACCAGTACCAGATCTGAGGTCTGAGACTGGGAGTTGGGGACTCTGATGCTACGGGCTGGTATACATAGTGTTAGGAGCTGGGTCTGTTGTCCTAACCTTCAGAGAACTGACGACTCCGTTGGGTAAAGCATCAAACACAGCCCGACGATTACACGGCACTTCGTGTTAGGTATCCAGAAAATGAAGGTAAGAACTCTGTTGCGGCACTTCACATTTCACCACCCTCTTGTTTTTTTAACCACTTATTAGGCTGTGACCCACAAGGTCAGCGGTTTGAAATCACGAGTCATTCCACAGGAAAAAGATGGGCTTTCTACTCTGGTAATGTTACAGTCTTTAAAACTGCCCGGTACAGCTCAAACCTGTCATCTAGGGTCGCTACGAGTCCGCATCCACTCAGCAGCAGAGTTTGGCTTTGGAATAGGGTTCGGGTTGCTTTATCCTGAAACTTTTTAGAATGTCTGATTAACGTATATAGCAGACCATCTTTGCCCTTATCTTCCTACACATCTCTAGCACCTGCTTGCTCTTGAGATCTTGTTTTCCTTGGTGTCTGTCACACAGCACACGGTTCCTCCATCTCCTCTATGGGGTACAATTTATTAAACCGCGTTCATCAAACATTTCCCATGGTCCCCTCAGGGCCACACACAGAGTTCTGTCTATAACAGGCCTGCATGAAATAATGGCTGATTAAAGGTCTGGCGCTTCTTTGTCCTCTTTCCCTTTGGGGATCTCACTTTCTCACAAGCTTCAATTCTCTTCTCAGTGCAAAAGACTTCTCCCCAATGCTAAGAAATCAGGGGGAGCGAAAGGAAACTAGCCAGTGCCATTAATTGGGAGGAAAGCTAGGTTAGCAAATGTCTAACTCATTCACATTCCCTTTCTTCCGGACTCCACCGTGGACTGAGTACTACTGTACTAGACCCGTCAATCCTAGAAAGGGAAGCTGGGCTGAAGTGGAGGCTGATCTCTGCAGACTTTAAAATAGTCCCAATAACTTTATTCAGGGCACCCACAATTTTGACACCATGCCAAAGACGGCGCAAACACCAATTACCTCCACATAGCACTTCTACCATCTAAGCCTTTGGCAAACTTTTAAAATAGTAATTCTTTGGTGCACTCCACTTCCTTTTAAGAACCCCACCACCCCCATTTCCTATCTCCTGTTCTCACCCTTCCCCACCTCTCTCCTTTCTG